CAGATAAAGTAAGGATAGAAGAAAGAATAGGATATCATATAGTTTAAAATAAAAGCAGGTGTGCTTGCAATGAGCTCAGCTTAATTTTTAGTATCATAAAACTGGTTTTCAGCTTATAAAATAACTTTTATAAGAATGTGTGACATTTGTATGTGTGTTGGTGTTAAGTAGTATTTATCAAAATTTCTATGTTTATGTAATAATTTTTTTTACTTATCCCTCCTCTCAGTTTCAGTTAAATAGTAGAATAGACTAGGTTTTTTAACCTTGAGGGCAACCAATCTAAGAAAAGGAAAACTCTGAATTCCAAACCATGGAGAAGGCAACAGGAAAACAGTCTAGTATCTTACTCAAGAAATTCACAGATATGAAAGAAAATGAGTTTGTGGCAATTCACAGAAAATAAAGAAAAGGGGTTTGTGGTGAGTCATGATCACCTTACATCCTGAAGGGACATAACATTAAAAATGAATAAAATAAAACTCCCCCTCAATTGGTAACTTTAATTTTAAATTTTACAATCTTTATCTCTTCAAGTCTAAAGTCAACTGTTATCTATCCTACATATTATAATTTTTTTTTTTTTTTTTTTTTTAAGCGTTTCACCCCAAGCAAGGCGGGAAGCCACTAGGACGCAAGGGGTTACAGAAAATAATCTGCACTTCTTCCTGTTACATCTATACAACCTCATTCAGTGACTCTCTACCTTGATTAGCTCCTGGGCCTTGAATTTAGTGAACATTTAGATTTAAAAAAGCAAAACAAAAAAAAAAAAACCCAAAACATCAAACCTGATGGACTGGTTAGCAGCCCTAGAAGATAGAAAGAAAATTGAAAAAAGGCGGGAGGAATGGGAAGAACAAGGTTTTAGGTGTAGCCAAGCAAGGTAAACAGTGGTAACCAACTCACTCTGAGCCCTGTGTCTCAGTATCATCATTGATATTTTGTACTGTACACTCTCTTTCTTCAATCTTCTTTCCCATCCTTCTTTCTCTGCAGCTGCTGCTGCTGCTATTATAACTACTATAAGCAAACAGGCAACTGTCTCTTCTTCTTTCTCTCCTTCCTTCATCATCATCTCAGCTGTTGTAGCATCATCCTCGCCGTGGAGCGAGAATGAATTGTGCGGGGTCCGCACTGTACCAGGTGGCGCAAGATGCCTCAGCCGTGGCCAACGTCCAGGGTGGTGTCGGCAATTACATACCGGTTGGCTTTCTTTCTTAACATCACCTTTTTTTCCTTCTTGTCACTTGTTGTTACTTTTTTCTTGTTGCAATGTAACCATCTCTCTCTCTCTCTCTCTCTCTCTCTCTCTCTCTCTCTCCCTCTGAAAACAAACTGCATACTGTACTGAGGTGCACTTAATTAAATTAAGAAAAGCCTAGATTGGCATGTGCCATCATGGATACACACAGAAAATATTTACCTTTTTTAATGATAAAAAACGATTTTCAATGCGGAAACATTTTACAGGCATCATGTGCTTCAGAAAAATGCAAGGAAAGAACATGTTGAGAATATCACTCGGCCCGACAAATGCGCGTGTAAAATTTCATTCTTTTAAAAATCGATATTAATCCTCATGGTCAGCGTAACAACCAATTTAATCATATTTTTTTCTAAAACAGGACACGCATATTCTTAGAAGGGAGGGTAATTTGTTAATTTACCCGACAACGTATATATATATAATGTTATTTGGGAAAATGTCTCGAATCTTGTTGTCTCGTGTTTTGCACTGTTTGAAGCCGAAAATGGAAATGGTGACATTGGTTTACTTATTCTTTCAAGCTTCTTTCACAGACTTCTCTCATATGTAGGACCCGCAAAAAAGTGCACATCTACATGAACAGATTTTAAATGATAAAAGAAAAAAATAAATAATCCTAACGCTTCGCTAGTGACGAGTGACTACTTCATTCATTCAAATCATGGATTAAGGTTTGAAACGGAGAGATGAAAAAATGAAAGAAACCGCGAACTGAATTCTCACTCAACAATTTAGTTTTGTATTTGCCTCTCTCGTTAAGTTTTTTTAGCAGACGTTACTAAAGATTTTTTCTTTATGTGTATGTCAAAAATGTAAAGTTAAAAAACGACAGTAATCAATTCGATAATTAAGTCATATTTTCCCACTTCCTTGTCCAGTTTTTCAATAGTTTTTCGGCAAAGCAACTGGTGTCATTTTTGCGACATGCGAGCCCTTTAAGTTAACAATACACGTTTTTATTTTTACAATGCCAGGAAAAAGTATTAAGTTCGAATTCTAAGATCCCAATATATATGTTTACTTCTCGTTAAAATAACCGTAAAAATTGTAGTTCATTTTTCTTTGCACTAACATTGATTTGGCGTGTTTAGAACAGGGCTTATAAACCAAAACGTAATCAAAAATGTAGATTGTACAGAGAATTGTAGATGGAAAGAAAGTGTGCATAAGCAAGGTTTTTGTATTTTTTAAATATGTGAATTTAATCAATCAATACACATGCTATGCATGTAAATAAATAAATAAAATAGGTAGTAAAATGTCTATTGAATATTTTTTCAATGTGAGGTTTCGGTCTGTTATGTTCAATCTTCTTCAGTAGTGGTGTTTTAATATGGTTGGATGGAGTAAGCTCTGATTTATTTTATTTTTAAGTAGACTCTCTCTCTTTCTCTCTCTCTCTCTGAGAGACCATGTAAATTATTAAAAATTGTATTTTTAGTAAAGTTCAGCCACAACTTGTCTTTTTTGCACGTGAGATAGACTTGACAATAATAACCAAAGATTAATAATCGAAACTTTACTAAAATATTAAATTAACCTTAAAATTAAAAATATTTTAAAATAATAATAATAAAAAGATGCCACGATTAACAGTTGGCATCTGCTGTGTAAATAAAACAGTCATGGTCACTGATCAACAACGAAAATGGAAATTTATTTTATGTCAATTTTTTTTTATTTTACTTTTGAAGTGTCCTTAAGTTGCTTAAAGACAAAGAGTAGTAAACATTTGTAAAAGTTTTCTTTTTTTTTTTTTTTTTAAGACAATGTGGTTGTGGTAACTGTATTGTGCATAGCATAGTAATCGAATAAAAATCGAACCATTTTTAAGAATAAGATAAAAAAAAGCAATATTTCTTTGTTGTTCAATTGATGCTTGATTTGGGATATAAAAGAAAACTGTAAATTTTAAAAATAAATAAACTTAAAAATATTTTAAAATTCAATTCATACAAACACAAATAAAATAAATAAAAGTAAAACAGTAATTAATTAGTATTTTTCTTGCAATAATTGAAGATTCTAATTAGCGATTTCTACAAAACAATAAATCTTTCTTCTTACAAATCAAAAAAAATATTATTTACTTTTCCTTGGGTCATCGTCCATCAGTTACGTTCTGTTGAAAACTAAATAACAATATTTCTTCCTTCTCTCTCTAGTGGTTCAATACAATCCCCATTTTTTTTAACATTTTCTAATGCATTTTTAAGTAAGACATTTCAAAACCTGCAGCTAAGTTTAGAAAAAAAATTACAAGTGAATCTTTTTTTATTTTTATTTTGAATGTATTGTACACGTTTTTGTCATTGTGTGCGATTTTTGTTTGTTTTTTCAAGCAAATTTCACATTCGAAGGAGAATGCACAATTTTTTTTATGGAAATGATTCATTTTTTTAAACAATTTTGACATATTTCATAAGTTTTTGGTTCTAAAGTAAGCCAAACAAAAAAGCAAATTTAGACGAAATAAAAAGTGTCAACGATAAAAAAAAGTCAATTACATTGTAATTGTAAAATGTAGTAAAAAGTAAAGTTTACACTACAGTAGTAGTCACAACACGTTTTTAAAAACAATTAGCTGACATTTTAAGTGGATTTAGCTACCTTTTGGCATTTTTTAATCTTCTTAAAAACTTATCGCACTTCTCTAATTCTCTAGTTACCGCATTTCTAAAAAGAAAAGAAAAATAATAAACTAAAAAAGTAGCAACAATTTAATTTCTAAAAACCAAAAAAAAAAGCATTGTTGATAACGAACAAATAAAAAACTAAAGCAATTCTGCTAAAAAAGTTTATTTTAGATAAAGTGACATGCAATAACAATTACATAATAGCAGAAGCAGTTAGAAGGAAATTTTGCAATAATGCACTTTCTCGTCGTTAAAAAATAATTATTTACCTTTTCTGTAGAATCTGTCCTTGGTACAAGCATCATCGTCCTTATCATGAAAATCTTGTAAAACATGTGCCAATAATTAGGAAAAATATTTTTGTCACTCATTCGTTCATTCGAAGGCCTAAGTAAAGTGGAAGCGTTACTTATTTCCCGTCAGTGTATCTTTCTTTTTTTTCAACTGATTTAAAATGTTCGTAATTAATTAATTAACGATGTTTTGAAACTAAAAATTATTTTAAGTAACCAATATCCACTCTGATAATTCTGATAAAACTAAGGATCCATTCTGAATATTTTGAAGTCACATTGACTATATTTTTACATTCATTTTTTTTTTTGTATTTCGATGTTTTTTCCAACATCTTCAGTACAGTACAATACAAGGAAGGTAACAAGGATATGTGACTTTTTTTTATTTACGTTTGTATTTTTTATTCTCATATTTTAGATTAGAAAAAGCATAAACAATCAAATTTCTATAAACGGAAAATTATTTTCAAACAATCATTAAAAAATAATTGAATTACGTCATTCTTTAGTTAGGTAAAATGTTTACGTCATAACCACTTAGTCACAACTAAGTTTCCTTAAAAAATGTTTTGCATTTTTAACTCCCTCTCGTTGCTTGAAGTTGTGCTTTCCATGAATTAAGAAAAGAGAATAAGTGTCAAAAAGAATCTCTTGATTAACAGTAACACAATTTACCTCTGTAAAAATTTAGAAAAGTCCTATATTGGTATGACATATGCATTTAAGAACATATCTGTCAAATTGTACTTGGGATTTAGTCCACGACTTCGTATATTTAGATGTTAAATGCTCCAAAAAATGCCTTACTTTTCTCCGCGTCCCAAAAATATACTCTTTGGTATTTTTCCCTTAATATTCTTTCTCCCTCCTCCCTCCCTCCAGATTAAACCATGCACACGAGCCTCTTTAACAATCACCTTCACATTTGCTGAAAAAACACCAAGAGTAATACATTCATTACACGATTCAGTGGAGCATAGTAGGCACAAAAACTAAAAGATGTGGTTATTATCTTGTCTTCAAGCATCATGCATTCTTTCTTCTCTCTCTCTTTTATCTTCTGCTTAGATTTCTTTCTAGTGTCTATCTGAGGAGGAAACCTTTTTAATAGTTTTGGCATCTTTGTAAACTGACGTAATTGATTCCTTCTTGGCAAATTCTAGTCATTAATTATATTTAAATAATTTCAATTTGCTTATATTTTTATTTAGGTAATGATAATATTAGCTGTTTCCCAGCAAGGAAACATTTGGCATTCATTGACTGAACAGCAAGTACTATTTTGGGTTGAATTTTATAAAATCTTTCTCTTAAAACAATTTTTCAGGAAAATAGATTTTTCAAGTCCAATAGTTATTATCACTCTTTTAGTATTGAGGGGGGGGGGGTTCCTTCCTAACCATTTATTTGTAGTTATGTGGAATGTCAATATCTTGATTATGGTAAACACTTAAATCTTAAATATCACTTTTTGCAAATCTGAGAATTTATTTTGTACTGATTTTGTTTTATTTAATTTCTGTAATGTTTATTTTTGAAGTGTTTGCTTTCTTTTCCTTTTTTTTAAAATTTTTTTCTGACTTTTAAATGTTTCTTAACAAAATAGTACTGTACTTGTCTTTTCCTTTTGACTCCATTGTCTCATATGAGGTGTGGGGGGCACTGAAATATTTTCAGACTAATCTACTTCCCGAAATCTGAGAAAATGGGCCAAGAACTTTTCAGCACATTTTTGTACATTTTCTTTTTCTTTGTTGTTTTTGACTTTGTAATTAGTAACAAACATAATCAAATTTTGACCAAAACTTTTCTTTTGACAAGTAAAAGGGCATAGATTAACTGTAGTAGATAGATAAACAGATATTGATAAACCTAGATATGAATTAACTAGGATAATTAGATATAGACAAACCATTATCCTTCATGTCATAGGTGTTCCAGGCTCCCTTTGAGTTCCTATTCCTTGTAGCCCTAAGCAACATTTGACTCCTTACTATCCCCACCCCACAGTTCATGTTCTGCCATCAAGTTTATTAGGTGTGTTAATCACTGCTTCCCTCTTTCCCTTTTGCCTTTAATATGTTCTGTGAGTGTCAGATTCTCCAAGCTCTGCTTCTTCATTATCTGTCTGCAAAATTTGAACTTTCTTTTTTTATCCTAGGGAAAAATGTTTTTTCCTTTACATTCTCCTTAAAACTTCCTCATTGTTCACATGTTCTGTCAATGGTATTCTCAGTGATCTGCATCTTTGTTGCTCTCCCTGTTAATTTCCTTTGACCAATACTTGACATTAAAAAGTAATTATTACTACTAATTTCTATTTTTCTCCTTACTGTGCATCAATAAGTCCATAATATAACATGTACTGTATTTTGCTGCTTAAGATGCTTCGATGCATTAGATGCCCCCACCACAAATTTTGAAGGAAGAAATTGGAAAAAAGTTTTTTCCTTGTACTTAATAGCCCTCCTCATTATCCCCCAATTTTATCCCATAAATAACATATTTCAGCTGACTAATCATTATAAATTCATCACAAACTGAAAAGAAGTACCAAATTTATGGTAACTATTTAGAATGTAATTATTTGAAGAGCAGTTAGAGTGCATAATACCACTGAAACCTAACTTTATTGCAATCTGAAATTCACATTAATCGTGATGAATTCATCACAAACCAGGATTGAGCACTTGTTTTACTTTTAAGAGCTCAGAATGGGATGTAACTAGTAAACAAATGCTTATCCCAGAGCTCAAAGTTATAATTTCCATTACAAACCTTTGATTTATAGGATACCAGGTGATTTTTGGAGATATTTTATAGGAAAAAAAATGTGTTCTTATAAGCAGCAAAATATGGCAGTTTTTATCTGAATTTTATTTGATATTTTCACTATATATTCTTCAATATAGTGAAGAAGCATTGGGTTACATGAAATTACACGAAATAGATTGTATGGAAAAAATATTTGTTGTGCAAAGCAAATGCATTTTTTTTTTTTTTTTTTTTTTTTTACATCATTGACCTACAGACTTTTAGATGTAACTACATATATGTCCAGTTATTCAAGTCTAGCCTGCTTAACCATAACTGCTTCCACACCAGATGGTTTATAAATTTTATTTTATGTTTATAAATATTTATATATTTATTACATTTTGTATATATAAATTTATTTTATGATTCTGATAAATGGTAATTTCAGCTTTTCTTTCAATCAGGCTGTTATTGATAATATTTATTTACCATTATGATAAGCAATACTCTCACTTCTTGTATTTCCCTTTAGAGAAAAAAACAGGCATGTTTTATTACTGTATTCATAGATTTGCAGCTTCTTTGTCAGTGTATATCAGAACAAATTTGTTTTAAAGATATCTTTGGATGGAAAATCAGACCTTAATTTGGGGTAATTGGCAAAAATTTGGTTCCATATATATATATATATATATATATATATATATATATATATATATATATATATATATGGGATGTCTGGAACCAATATGATAAAAATATAATTTTAAGATATGCTATATTTATGGGTTAAAGAAAGTGCTCAGTATCAGGGATAAAGCATATGTAAATATAAAAGTGGACACCCAGTGGTTTAAGCATGAAACAGACTGTTGCTGCTGGGTCTTAACCTCAGTGTGTGTATATATATATATATAAATATATATATATATATATATATATATATATATATATATATAAAAAATGTAAAAGAATGAAAAGAATATAAATTCAAATGTTGCACGTTCCAATGTAACAGTTTATAAAATATATTTATTACTTCAAACTTATTTTTAGTGGATACTCATATTCGAAAAGGTGCTTTGTTTTTTTTATTTTTATTTTAAACAGTATTTATTTCATTTACCAGCCTTTGCACTTGAGAAAACTTATTAAAGAAATATGCCACCACCCGTGCCAAGAACCCCCCCCCCCGCCTCCAGAAGGATTTGAACCTGCATCCCTCTTTGCAGGAGAAAATACTGTCTGATACACTCACTTAGGAAGAACTTCAAAACCAAGCAAGATTCTATTTGTCTCTAAAGCACACTCATTTGTTCAGATTTCTTGAAACGGATATCTGCTCAGTTTTATATCTGTAACATAAAGAAAGCAATTTCCAAAGAATTAATGGATTTTATTTTTTAATCTGACATATTTTTATTACTTCAAATGTTATTTTTAGTTTATAACCATATTTGAGTAGATGCTCTGTTTTTTGTTTTATATAGTATTTATTTTTGCACACTTGAGAAGAAAATGTGCTCTATGGCAGGATTTGAACCTACGTCCTTCTTTGAAGGAGAAACCACTGTCTGATCCAGCATGCTTTAACTGCTTGTGTGTACACACACATGCATATATATATATACACACACATACACAAACACACATATAAAATATTCTTTATCGAATGATTTTGTTCTGTACATTGTCTGTGTTGACAGAATGCTTTAAAATGGCTACTATTAAGACGTGTTTTTTATTTTGTTTTTAAGTGAACTGCAAAATTTTACTCAGATGATTGTGATTTTCAGTATATAAGTTTTTCCATGCAGCGATGTTATTTTATCTCAATTTACTTCTGTATATGCAAATTAGAAATCATTTGTATTTAAATTTTAACACGCATTTTGTATTTCTATTTGGCAAATCTAACAACCCTTGAGTAACATGTAAACCCTGTTAGTATCATGTTGCTCAGGAATACATTCTCTTAAGTACTTTACATATTTTTTCTACAATTTTAGCATAATCTTCCCATATATATATATATATATATATATATATATATATATGCACAAACAGGGCATGATGGGCAAATGTTTGCCATTTTATATTTTTTTAATTTTGTGCATACATGTTTGTTTTTGATTTTGTCTACTGCACAGTATAGTAGGGTCAGTTGGGCACCATCTGTGAGAAGAAGAGTACCATGACACAAATCATTTTGACAGAAATTTTGAAATGGAATGTTGTACTGCTTGGAATTTGCACCAGAAGCTCCAATACAATCATTTCAGAGTGTCTGGGTGTCAATCTGAGGACAGTGCAGAGTATTTGGATGAGTCTAATGGTGATTACAAAGATATGGCAGCTCAGAAAACTCATTCTGATCATTCTGATAAGAAAAGAACTCCTGAATTTGTTGGTGAGTGCCTCAGACTCAGCATGGAGACCTGCATCAAGTGCCTTGAGAAGGTAGTATGGCCCTGCTTCAAGAGGGTAGCTGCTGGAAGACCCTATATCTGGCAATAGAAACTCTACACCATGCCACACAAACAGGAAAACCCAGTCATGGCAGTCAGACAATTTCTGTGACCACATCACCCCTTACATCTGGCCACCTAACTCCCCACACTGCAACCACCTTGATTCTTATGTGTGGGGTGCAGTTGAGTGAGAAACCAAGAAAACTCCTTGTAACACCAAATATAAACTGAAGGCAAGGATTATGGCAGCATTCACAAACTTAAACAAGGAGACCATTCAGAAAAGTTGCAGGAGATTCCAAAGTCGTCTGGAGGCTGTGATTGAATCCAATGGCAGTTTTATTGAATAAATCTACTCTTTAGTATTTCAAGATATTTTGTGTAATTTTGGTAAATAATCAGTTTTAGTTTTTCCTTCCGCTTGTGCTTTTAGGCATCGTGGGGAGACACAGTTGTCTTTCTCATGGGCTCTGAGAGTGTCTGCCATTGAGTTGCTCAAGCGTCTTCTTGCTCTCCAGCCTGAGTACCTGCTCATAGGGCTGGTTGGTTGATAAGCATACGAGTGAGGTGTCTGAACCACTTGATCATCTGTCTTTCAATTGCTCCTACCATACCTCTTATTGCCTCATTACTTATCTTGTGTCGCCTGGTCTTGTTCACTGCTTTCCTCAGGCATTTCCTCTCATAAGTGATCAGTTTTTTCTCAAGGGTTTTTGT